GTGGGGGGTGGGCACAAGGGGTGAAGGGAGACATATATATGGTGATGGACAAACAAAAATGTACAACCCAAAATTTCACAATGTTAAAAACTATTAAAACATCAATAAAAAAAAAGATCAAATATTGAAAACCTAAATGCTTACAGGGCCAGACAGGTAACAAAAATAGGGCAAACAAGCAGAGTGGAGACTGTGGTGAACTGGGAAAGGATATGTCTTCTGCAAATGGGGAGGCCAATATTCAGGTCCAACTCAGTTTTTCTGGTTGGGAGTGGGGGGCCTGGGGCTGGAAGATTTTCCACTTTGTCAAGATTGGCCAGAAATAAAAATATTTATATGAAACCTTCTATTTTTTAAATCTTGGCAATCAATTCAAATGTGTTTTATTCAAAAGTGTGCTAGTCATCTAAAATAGGTCTGCAGATCAGATACAGGAGGCAGCTGCCAACTTGCAACCTTTGCCTGAGAAGGTTATTTTAGGCAATTTTCAAAACTCTGGAATGGTACCATGTAACTGAAAGCACTTCTAAAGCCAACAATCCTAGAATGCCATTGTAGGGGTGGAAAACTTTTCTCTTTTTTCCTTCTAGGTTCTTTGGCTGATCTAATAATCAAATTGACATAAGACAGATTAACAAGAGGAAAACAGATTTCATACATATGGGAGCCCCATAAAAATATACACTCCCAGCAGTCAGGTACTTGAGGTTTATATACCATCCTGAGCTAAGGAGAACAGGGTAGGGGTCTGGGGCTTCAAGGAGGAGGAAGACAATTCACAGAAAGATGAGAAGAGCAAATGTTTGGTAAGCAAATGTTTGCCCTGCCATGAAGGTAATTCTTTCTGATATAAAAAGGTATCTGTGGTAATAGCTCTCTTCCTGGTACAGGCCCCCTATCTAAATTCTTTTAGGCAGTTAAGGGAGAGGTAAAAAGCTTTTCCTGAGTCTGCTGGGTCTTAATTGCCTCCAGCTCAAGACAATCCACATGCCAAAATGGCACATTTTGGGATGGCGTGTTCTGCTTACCCTCATAAGCTGCATATGAGGCAACCTTGAGAAAGATCCTGTTAAGTGTTCCCATTCTTAATTTTGAAGAATGATGCAAGGATGAGGTCATATCTCTAATGAGAGAGTATTGGCATGGAAAAATGGATGATGGAGGAAGGAGAAAGGAAAAAAAGAGTTATAATTATTGTTGTGTAAGTCTTAATATCTATCTGTTTGTCAGGCACAATGCTAAGAAGGGCAACACTTTGTCCCCTTTCTCAACATCATCATTGGACCCAGGGTTAGGTGGATACTACACAATCAACCCAGCTCCCATGGACATCAGTCCAAGAATGGTTTGAACAGCCTTTGAACATTTCGGTATGTAAGTTGACCAGTGTTCATTTGAGTTTTCATATTAGCATCTTAAGCTCAGTTTTCCTCATTCAAATTCCCCATGTTGCCTGGAGTGGGGGTGAGGGGGTGTGATGGTTAATTGTATGTGTCAATTTGACTGCACTAAGGGATGCCCAGATAGTTGATAAAACATTATTTTGGGATGTGTCTGTGAGGGTGTTTCTAGAAGAGATTAGCATTTGAATTGGTAGACTGAGTAAAGAAGACCACCTTCACCAATTGAAATCATCTACTCCACTGAGGGACTGAATAGAACAAAAAGGCGGAGGAAGGGCAAATTTGCTCTCTTAGCTTGAGCTGGGATATCCGTCTTCTCCTGCCCTCAGGCACTGGCACTACTGATTTTTGGGACTTCAGACTCAGGCTGAATTACACCATCAGCTTTCCTCATTCTCCAACTTGCAGACTTCAGATTGTGAGATTTCTTGTCCTGCATAATTGTGTGAGCCAATTCCTATTTTATCTATATCTGTATATCTATATCTAATCTGTATCTATATCATCTATACCTATACCTATATCTATATCTATATCTATATCTATATCTATGTCTAATCTTCTATTGGTTCTGTTTCTCTGGAGAACCCTGACTAATATGGGGAGTGGTGCAGAGGGAGAGAGTCATTTGCTTTGGGAAAAGCAGAATCTTCCAGGGCTGCCTGTCTCAAATTGAGGAGAGATTAAAGGATGGGGAAGGGAGGTGTCTGGAGGCACAGATTCTTATAGAACTAGCTCTCCACAGCTCTTAAATTTTGCCAGTTTAGCCAAAGTGAATTGCTATAAACTCTGTATTTAAAAGCAACAACAAAGCCAAAGTTTTTGGTAAATTTTGTAGGCTTTGGTGAGTTAGCCGTACAGTAGTTTGATCTTTCAGAAAATGGCCCACTTTTTTTTTCCAGCTTTATTGAGATATACTTAACATATAACATTGTATATATTTAAGGTGTACAGTGTGATGATTTGATATACATATATATTGTGAAATGTTTACTACAATAAGGTTAGTTACACATCCATCACCTCACATAATTATCTTTTTTTGGGGGAGAACATTTAAGATTTACTTTCTTAGCAACTTTCAGGTATACAATAAAATGTTGTTAACTATAGTCACCAAGCTGTATATTAAGTCCTCATAACTTATTCATCTTATAACTATAAGTTTGTACTCTTTGACCACCTATTGACTTGGTCAATGAGTGGCTTGTCTATTGGTAATTTGACTTTTGATTTATTGACTTGGAGCCAAATCTATGACTTCTAATCCCAAGCAAAGCTGAATAAAATAATGTTTCTACCATCGTATACTTACAATCTAGCTGGGAAGATAAAACATGTTCCAGTGAAAAGATATAAAATGTTCTGGAACCAATTCTGATGTGTATGTGGGGTTTTCCCATACCACCAATTCTTGGACACCAGCTGGGTGTTCTATAATCCAACTCAGTTCTGACACTATCTACTCAGAGATAGCATCAGATCCCACAGGTTAGTGGCTCAGTCTCACAAGAGTGTCCCCCCACTTCAAATGCCAGTCACAAGTCCAGGTTATCACCTGTGCTTCCGACCAACTGGCTAAGATCGGAGGTTCCAACGACCCTCTCCTTAGGTTCGGTTAATTTGCTAGAGCAGCTCGCAGAACTCAGAGAAACATTTTACCTACTAGATTACCAGTTTATTATAAAAGAATATAACTCAGGAACAGCCAGATGGAAGAGATGCATAGGTCAAGGTACAGGGAAAGGGGCATGGAGCTTCCATGTCCTCTCTCTGTGAACCACTCTCTCAGCACCTCCACGTGTTCACCAACCCAGAAGCTCTCTGAACCCTGTCCTTTTGGGTTTTTATGGAGGGTTCATTACATAGGCATGATTGATTAAATCAGTGGCCATTGATGATTGAACTCAATCTCCAGCCCCTTTCCCCTCCCTCGTGGTCAGGGGTGGGACTTAAAGTTCCAACCTTTTAATCACATGGTTGTTTCTCCTAGCAACTGACCCCCATGCTTAGGTGGGGTCCAAAAGTCACCTCATTAATGTAATAAGAGACACCTTTGTTGCTCTCATAACTTAGGAAATTCTAAGTGTTTAGAAGCTCTGTGCCAGAAACAGGGATGAAGACCAAATATATATTATTATAAATCACAGTATCACAGAAAATGAGCAAGTCAAAGCAGAGAACAGTGAAATACTTCCTGACTCAAAGCTCACGTCAAAGTTAAATTTGGGCAGGATCTAAGCAAGTGTGGCTGAGTGAAGTTGCTTCAAGTCTAAAAGGCTGCCAGACTGCTCCAGGAAGTAGGAGGAGGTGGTAGGAGCCCAGAGACTTTGCCTACTGTGGACCAGCCTCCAATATTAATGGCCATAGACACTGACTACTGTGTTGTCATTCCTAGGTGAGTGGATATTTGGGAGTCATGATGTCACAAAGACATCTCAGACCATTATAGCTATCAGGGAGCATGTAAGGTCTGCCAAACAGTTAAATGCCTCATTGAATAGTGTTTTGCACAGAACAAAAATACTGTAGCAAAGCTGTGCCAAAAGGGCCAAGTTCCTGATGGTGATGCCTTGGTATTCTCTATTCTGGTTCAGGTCCACAATCATATCTGTGGTGGGCTGCTCTTACAAAAAGAGGCTCAAAAGTCCAGTGTTGCCTTAGGGATCTGTTTAACCTCACCCCAAATACTAAATACCAAAGTAAGAGAGGAAAGAGGGCTTCTGAGGTCAGTGCTATTTTCTGACTTCTAGGAATAGAATGTATTGGATCTAGAAGGAAAATCTTTCTTGTGAATGAAACCAACACTTCTAAGCTAGCCAAGGTGGTAGGTGGCACAAAAAGAGGTGTACAAGGTATGCCAAAGAAACTCTTTGCATGGAAAATCATTCTGTTTTCTTGGGGAAGTAATGCTTAATATTCCCATTGTATCCCCTACCTTTTTTTCCACTGCCGTTTGGAATATAGTTCTTTGGGTCATAATTGAAGTCAAATATACATTTTTAAGTTTAATTTTCTGAGCACTCTGTAGCCCAAGTACAATAATTGACATCTCCATGTTTTCTGGAAATAACCAACAAACAAAACAAAGATGACACAAAATGTGTTCAAACTAATAAAGCATCAGGTACATGAGTACTCACAGTTGAATTCAGAAGTAAGATCTGCTGGGCTGTTTTCTCAGTGATTCTCTAAAATGAAAACTTAGGTCTTTAATGATGAGCTAAGATTCGTGGAAATCCAAGAAGCGATTATTTGGCTCTTCACTGCTAAGGAGCTTAGTGGTGGTTGATGGTGTATTATAGCCAAATAGCATTATACACAGAGGGTACACAAATATGCCAAAGAAACCCTTAACAGTTAAAGATTGTGTAAACATAGCTTTGGATTTATTCTATATAGAATTTTCATTCTCACAGTCTTTTAATAAAAATAAACTAAAACGTGAAGGTTATAAGAAAATTCTTAGGTCCAGGCTCAATCTTCTGAAGGTGTGCTCCTGCTTCCTCTAGAAATTTAAAGAAGAGCACACCTCAAAAGAATATTCTGGTGTATGCACACTTCAGAGATATATTTGGTTAGGGAGATGAGAATGAGGTGTGGGAGAAGGATAGATTATTATATAAGCATACCAAGAACAAAACCAATAAACTGAATTCCCATCCCTTTAGATATCTAGAATCTACATTCTACATATCTGTTTCTAGAGTCTACATTCTCGGGAAAGACAAAAACCGTATCATTGTTCCATATGTCTTATGTCTCACAAAAGTACAGTAGAAGACTTGATTTCTCAAGTCACAAAATTATCAGGGTAATATGGAATCTTGAAAACCAAAGGTTGTTTATCTCTGACCAGCCCCCAACAGCCTACCCTCAGCCAGAAGCTTCCTGGTAAGAATGGCCACCTTCAAATCCATCAACTTGCCACCCTCACTTAGAACAGAGCAAGCCTCATGAGCTGAGAAGGGTAACCAGGCACTAATTTCTCTTAGTGGCATTAAACTACATTTCTAAATCTGCTTTCAGAAAACTTAGTGTCTCCATTAAAGTTCCTATTGTCTGTTGTTTTTGTTTACACTGCTCAGGAATACCCAACCTGTCATCACCCATTCTAAAAGGGAACTCAAGACTGCTGCCCCCACCTACACTTGGTTATGCACTGGGCCT